ATAATTTTTTCTACTATTTTTTGAATGAAATTTAAAAAGCGCTATCATAAATCCAATATTTAATAGAAAAAATAAAACTATATAAGCCCCTTCATAATTAAAATAAATTATTTACTAGAGATTATAAAGTGGAATTATTATTTTTTAAATAACTTTATTAAACATAAAATACACTATATAAGTAATTTAATTTATTTATCATAAAAGAATAAAAAAAATCAACAACAACTCAAACCAATAACAAGTATAGAAATGTCACCCTTTAAAATTACATACACATAATTTGATAATTTGTAACAAATAATTTTTCAGGTATACAAAAAATGAAAATGAAGTATAAAACTATAAATGTATAATTTGTACTCTAGTGTACAAACATGTTTTAGAGTAATATCTAGCTACTGTTGTTCTTATTTATAATTAAAATTAGATTGAAGTAGCTATCCCTAGCTATATATTTGAGTGAATCTATAGAAATTGAAAAGTATGACATAATTGTAAAGCCTTGTAAAGCAAATGGAATAATATATCTTATTGTAATGCAAATTTCATTTGCTACACCTCTTTGGTGTTGATACTGTTTCTAAATAAAGTTGTAATATATCTTATTGCTATGGAAAAAAATACGTGAACATTAGAAACCAAATCTTACATGTACTTTATGTTGTAGAATGAATAAAATAGTAAGAAGTATCTCCTAAATCTAGAAAAAAGAATACAATCAGGCAAGTTTAATGAAGATAACTAGTAGAAAATATTGATATGTACAATTTGAAACCTGGCAACATATTCATGAAGAGGAAGCTTAAAATATTATTTCTGAAACAATCTCAATGTAGAGGCATTGCAATGAAAAATTCAATGTTAAAAACATACACTTACCTTATTAAAAGAAAAACATTATGTTCGGCAGTTATTTATGTTTGCTTCGTAGGATTTTTCAATTTTTCCACATATTAAAAGAAAAACATACACTTACCTAAAAAAAAAAACAGAATTAGTTATTAGTTTTTATATTTAACTTTTAATAAAATCGATCAATGAAAATCGTGCTAGGCCGATTAAACTAAGAATTAGATTAGTAACAGGTCTAAGTATGTCTGACGACAACACTACTTTAAAAACAAATAATAAACCATAAAGACTCCATATTGTATAACAATATACAAGAATTGAACAGAAAAAAAAAATGGATCGAATAACATGAAACAGACATAACGAGAAGATAAAGCAAAGGTTTGAAGCGAGTGAGAGATTATTACCAATAAAAAGGGGTGCTTGAAGTGAGAAAGATCAATTAAAATGAAATTGTGGGAGTAGATTTTAATGCAAAACTAAATTAAACTGATAGGTGGCTCATTAAACTCTATTGCAATTGTTACACAAATTTCTATTAAAAAATTTATTTTACAATAATTCTAAATAAGTTAATCAAAACCAAATCACTAAAATATAGCCTAATTTTTTGCTATGGCTATAGCTAAAAAATTGCACTACTTATAGAATATATCATAAACAACAGAGATTCAAAGCAATTCTTAATATAATAACTTCAGCTCAAATCTTATGACTTCAGGTTGAACCTTACACCACATGTTATAGGGAGGAGAATCAGATTCAGAATGCAAACTTCAAACTTCAGGTTAAAACTTCGGTTGAACTCACTAACAAGTCCAAAATGCTACATTTTAACAAGATTTATAGCTAGGCATTGGATTGGTGTTTAATCTTCACTTCATCAAGCCAAGCCTGAATATTATTTAATTCGTCTGTGTTGGAGAAGCTCTGACCCTGAGAAAATGAGTAGTAAATTAGAAAAACTTTACAAAACAATATGCCTTCTAGAAGTTTTTCAACCCTCAAACATCAGAAATCTTAAAAGTAAATATTTTGCCTGTCTGTAGATGTTCTTCAAGTGCATCTCAGCTGTAAGCAATTCTTCCATACTTCTGGTTGATGCGCACATTTCCATGTACACCTTGCAGAGTTCCAAAGATGCTTTTGCAAACTTTTGGAAGCAATCTCAGTCATGCCAAGTATTAGAACCCTGAAAGAATACATCTGGACGATTAAATTAAGACAACAAATGCAAGAGAAGTTTCATACAATATTGCAATTACAATGGAAAACTTAGAGCCAAAACTTTGGTTTGAAGATAGTTTCATACATTGCAATTACAATGGAAAACTTAGAGCCCAAACTTTGGTTCTATAATATTTGCATTTTAGAAAATATCTTTGTTTCAAGTGGATAATGAGTATCAAAAGAGAGAATTGTTAATTATTTAAAACTAGACTGCTTAAAACAAGTTTATTTCCATATACTAATTTCACAAAGCAGAGTTTACATAAATTTAGTTAGCAATTGCCTGGGTACATGTTTAGGACTGCATATCCAGATCGCGATCAAATAAGTTGATTCCATACTATAACCCAAAATGAAGGGGAAGGGGGGAAGGGTACAAGATAGAGCGGACCAATCCATTAGATTTCATTCCATCATACTTCAAACAAGACAATGATAATCAATATCATCATATTTCATTTCAATTCAATGCACTCAAATTTATCCATCTCCATCAATCCAAACATACCCTGGCAGGGATGGCATACAAGGCATAGAACATGCAATGAAACTGCACAAAATATACTTTTCATTGTTCATAATATACCATCACATCTCAGACTCGTTTTGACCAACAATATAAAAATAAAATTACATACCTGACTTGTTGGGCTTTCCACCTTAATTGCGATCCGCCCCTAGTCCCCTTAATTGCGGCTCTTTGGCTTGCCTCATTGGAGCTTTGAAGGGGTGGATTTTGTCCCACATTGCTTAGAGATATGGCTTGTGTTGTGTTTATAAGTGGAGGCAATCCTCATCTTACAAGCCGGTTTTGTAGGGTTGAGTTAGGCCCAACCCAAATTCTGAGATGACTAATATTACCAACATCAACAGCAACATGGCAGTAAATTTACAGTGATTATGAACTAAAACATGTGGATCACAGTAGGTGTACATTTTGGCATCCAAAAATATATATTGGATAGGAAATACAGATTGGATACATCATTTATAATTAGTATTTTTGGTGAGAAGCAAGAAGCAAATGCATGTGATTAAACTAAGCAAACACTGGTCGTGCTTAACCTTGTATTTGACAACTACTTTTTGCTTAATATAAGTAAATGTAAGAGGGAAAAGATATGACAGTTAATGTAATTCAAGCCCAAAAACCATTGAAAGAAAAACACAACTTTTTCCCTAACCAACTCTCCTTTCTTTCCTCAGGGAATTATTTTAGTTGGTTACGATTCCGGTTTCTCACTTAATTATGTAACAGATTAGTAAAATCCTAAAAATGGATACACCTACAACATGGCTACATAAAGCAGTTGGAACACACAAAGGAACTAGATAAAGTAACCTCACAAATTTTTTACTCTACAAATATTGTCATTTGTGTGTTGCTAATATCCAGGCAAAAATAACAAAGTCATTACAAGAGGTAATGAGACATGGATACAGTATTCTAAAATATGTTTATTAAAGATAAGACATCACTAATAACTTTCCCAAATAATCAAAAAATAAATATTAACTTTTGATGCTTTTATACAGTGCATTTACAGAGAGCGCCAGTAAAGTCCAAGAATTCATTCAGGACAGGATACCAATTATGGTGCAATTTATGACATAATTTAGTATGGTTCATTGCACATAGTAGCTTGTTGGCAGACATTTAGTAATTTACTTGCATGGCAAAGTCAGAAGATTTTTTACTTTTAATAATATCATCGGGAGGCATAAAGGAATGAGAAATTTTGATATCATGAATATAAATAACAGTCTAAGGTTGCATTAGATATAGACTAAGACATGTGAGTCACAGCAACATTAATAATGTGAAATTTACTTTAATAGCATTCCTTCTATGCAATATTAACTTCAAATTAAACACTGCAGTAGCACAATAGAGAAAGGGGCAGGACAAAACTGTTGAGTAATAAAATGGACATTTATTCCCTTAGATAGTGTAACAAAATTTATTAAGTAACAAAATTTTAGAGTCCTTTATTTTTAAACGGATCACGCATACTCTAAAGGTAAAGTGCTTCCATTGAATAGACTACCTTGCATACAAAGAGTGGCTTAAAAAACTCTCAAAGCAACCCAGATTATATACAAGTTCATAAGGCAAGACTCATAAGTAGCACATTCTGAAGCAGACCTTTCAATTCACAATGAAAAAATAAATAAATAACTGTTGTCAAAGTAAAAGAAAAAATAAAAATCCAAGAGAACTGACCTACAAGGGTCAACTCGTCCATATACATAATCCATAATTCTAACCTCTAAATGAAGCAAGGAGACAATGGCCGAGCTCTCTCTGTTAAGCAAACCAACTTCTCAATAAACCTGAACTTGTTCTGAAGTGCGAAATTGTTGTAAAGCTTCGCCCATATAAGCATGCAAGAGATCAAAAAGGGTAGAAGACTGCTCATCCAGAATTCATTGTTCAAGAAGCAAAACCCTTCCAAGCCACCAAGTAAGGCTTCTAATATCAACTGATAAATCTTTCATCCTCATAAGTAACATCTAAGCAAAAACTATATACTAGAGAAGAATAATGACTAATTAGTTGCATGAGTTGAATCGAATATTAAGTTAAATCAAAATAATTAAAATAATCCTTCCAATTATTTTTGTATAGACCATATTTAGATAAATAACATAATTAAGTGTGTATAGGATAAACAACAAAATCATCTTTGGGCATAGTTTTTGCATTTGAATCCAGAACCAGAGTTTACACAAACAAATTTAAATTGTAAAACCATGGTTGAACGACTGAAATATGTATTTGGAAAGCAGCAAACCAAACATAATATATAACTATCAAGAATTGCAGTAGGTTGGCATTGATCTACTTAAAATCTGCAATATCAGTAGCTTTCTTGACAACCTTCACATGTAAGATGGATAGGATTCAATGATTATCAACTTGTAACATCATTATCATCGGAGTCTAACTTCCACCAAGAACCTTTGTCATCATTGTAGTCATTATCAATTTCATCATAGATATCTTCAATATCATCATCTCCAGATGCTTCAGCAACTGTATCATCCATGTTGAGTTTCTTTTTATCCACATCTGGATTGTACGTCCACTCCAACCTTTTCAATATATCACGATCTTTCCAATTTTCCATAACCGATACAGCCTCCTTCTTTGCCTTCCCCATCAAAATTTCCTCCCAAGAAAAAGCAGTATCGGCAGTCCTTTTCAAGACTCCGTTACTACTAATATCCCCAATAACAACAGTCTTGAGACATCGCAACTTTGCTTCCTTTATCACATCAACAAAATCAGAATCATCTGATACAAGGACCACGCACTCAACCCGCCTGTGATCCATCATTTCCACCATATGCTTTTGCAGCGCAACATCTGCAGCTTGCGGCCTATCCAACACGGTTTGAACCCAAAACCCTGCCCGTTTCAGCTCGTCAGCCAAACCATACCCAACTTTAGGAGTCAGAACACCCCTTGCAGCCTTCTTATACTTGTCCATTTTCATAGAATACTTTCCCACCAATTTCACTTTCCTACTCCCTCTAGCAGACTCTATCTGATTCACCCTTTTCGCGTGCTCACGCTCATGCAGTTGCTTGAAATGGTTAACAAGCTTTTCATTAGTATAAAATTTTCTCCCGCAAACACGACAAAGATGAGGCTCATTACGTTTGATCACACCCTTATTCTCCAAACTATACAACAATTGTCTCTCTTTCCGACTCTCCCGAACAACACAAGGGACATGGCTAAAAGTGTGGCTGTTCGCATAAGCCACCATATGGCGAACAACCCCGAAGGAAGCTGCAGCTATTCTGAGCTTATTGGCAACTTCATAGGGTGGAATTGAATTGGGTGGTTTGTTATCCAAATCCCAGAAAAGCCCTACCCTACATAGCTTCTCAAAATGACAGTGTCTCAAAGCACCGTATGACTCTTTGCGTGTGGGTTCTATTGTGTACAATATTCTACGGAATTTGAGGATTGAAACCATGAATAACTAACAGGTTCTATGTTCTTCTACAAATCAAACAGCCTGAAAAGAAAACAACTTAATCTAATCAAAAAGACATATTAATGAAGAATATAGAACAACAATTTTTCTAAAGAGCTAAAAAAATTGAAAATTAGAGAATGCTATTTTGCACTTGAAGATCGTCACTGCGATTCAAGTAACTAAGAACACTTGTTACTTACAGGGTGAGGGAGAGTTCCATTTCAGCATTTAGATTTCAAGGAAGTAGAAAAACAACAGAGTGAAGGGAGGTCCTCGCCTGCAACGGTGGTTCTGGCAGAGAGAGGGGACTGAAGAAGGGTCGACAATGGCGGGTGCGAAGGGCGGAACGGTACCGGCAACGGGGTGCTCCTTCAAATGTTTATGTGGGCCTTATTATTCAAAATACAGTCACATCTGATTATGCGTTTTTGAGGGGGAGCAGATTCTTTCCCATTAAATTCATGTGCAGTGAAATGACTTTTTTTTTACTGTTCTACTTGTTATTGAAATAATTTTTTTAACCGATCATCCAAAATCGAATTAAATTGCAAATAAATTTATCTTTAAATTAGATGACATTTTGTTTCAAAATCAATTCAAATCGAACCGCGAACACTCCTACATGTTATCCTAGTTTAAAAAAAACACCGACATAACTTAAGTCTAATACATGCTCGTCTGCTGGGGTGGCGAGCGAGCATAAAACTTTTCTTGCATGAAGGGGCTCGTCTCCTAGAGTGGCGAGCACGTGATTTTTTTATTACTTTTTTGTTTTTCAAATTTTTATTTTATATAAATATTATATTTAATAATTTTAAATATTAAAAATATATTATATTAATTTAATAATTATATACTAATTAAAAATAATTAATCAAACAATTATATTAATTTAATTGTTAGATACTAATTAAAAATATATGATATTAATTAAATGTAATAATAAAATATATGAAAGAATTTATTCAAACAAAAATACATATTATATATTAATTAAAATACATTTTATTAAAATTGGCCCCCAATTCCACACCTAGTGCTCTTTTTTGCTGATATCCTCTGCCCATACGTTCATTTGCATTTTTTGTAGGTGATGGAGATGAATCAGAAGACATATCTTGATTGGGATGTGTTGTAGGGGGTCCGCCTGCCTTGAAGGGGGCCCGCTTGTGTCGTAGGTTGCTCTGCAAGAAGGCCATCAATGTTAAAATATGACATTTGCATCTGTTGATCCTCCGTCAGCAAAAAATGTTGGAATGAATGCGATGGTTGTGGTGGTTGGGTGTAGGTTTCGGGTTGGGTTTGTTGGAGGGTTGGGTAGTAGACATCATCAGGCGTGAAGGTGGAGGTGGATTGAGAGAATGAAGTGTTGAAGGTTTGATGTTGGGATTGGGGGTTTGATTGATCAAAGTTTGACGGAGGAACTGGAATGAACTGTAAGGGTGGTCGAAGGGTGGATTGATGTTGATATTGTTGGTTGTAGTTGTAGTGGTAGTTTTGTTGAGGGAGTGGAGTGTAGGGAATTTAGTGTTGGTATGATGATGCATATAATATGTGTTGTTTGGTGGTCTGTGTGCATTGGTATGTATGCTGAGCGGATGAAAATGCGTGTCCCCCAAATTGGGATGTGTACATTAGTGGCACATCCTGATGCATTGGTGCGGCAGTTGGTTGTGTTGAAGATGAACCTTGTACGCGAGGGTCGATCAAAAATTGGTCTGGAGCAATATGCACATATGAAATTGCACGAAACCAATTTAAATACTCTTGGTTTGGCTTGCGTTCACTAACTACCACGTCCCCTTGCAAAATCAAATATCTTCTATGTTTTCATTCTTTCACCCCCTCTTTGTTTAATTCTCGCCAATGAACTTTTTGGGCTTTTTTCATCGTCATTGTGTGGTGTTCCCTTAGACACCTTGGCGGGGAAGTAATTTATTGTTCAAACCCGAAATGGAGTTTGACCATATTTGATTGACGCATTTCAACAGTGTAGAAACAGATAAAAGAAGTTTAGCACTCCAGATCTGGCTATCTCTAAGATTGGGCACCGGGAATTGAATGTACGGCCTCCATATAAACAGCTGTCGCTACTGCGAAAATCGGCGCCGGCTGAACAGAAGAGTCGCCACCGCGCGTTATTTATCCCACGGGAGGGAAAGGAAACGCTCAGAGTAAACCTCGCACAACACGGGAAAGGTATGGTCGTCGCAACCAAAACCGGGGTTCGGGAGTCGGTTACGCAAGGGGAAGGTATTAGCACCCCTCACGTCCGTCGTACTCGACGGGATCCACGCTTGTTTTCGGGTATGGATTGTCATTCTATCTACTCTAAAGGTCAGGGGTTAAAAAGAAAATAAAACGAAAATAAAAATGACTCGGCAAAGTATCGCACTTTATGCCTACGTATTCCCGCCTGGAACGAGAAATCAGAGTCAACGTAGTTCGCCTACCTACGGGAAAGGAGGGGAAGGTTGCTCGCTAGGATATCGCATCCTATGCCTACGTACTTTCATACAGCATGAAAGATCAGAGCAAACGTAGTTCGGGCTACGGAAGACACAAGCTTGTCTTGGTTGATTTTATTCTTTCTGAAAAAGGTTTTCTGATTAACAGTCCCGGCGGACAAAAATGACGCTTTGATGAGTTCACATTCTTTTACGGAAGAAGTGTCTTTTATTGTGTTTGAAATCTTTATGTGTTTTTCTGTTTGTTTTGAGGAAGAAGAGACAGAACTCTAACCTACGGTTACGAGGGGAAACAAACTAACCTAATGTTATCATGCATGGGTTAAGACCTAACGTCTATCATGCTCCTCTCTTGCACAGAGAGAAACAGAGATCCTACGGGATAGGCAGAAACAGAAACAATATCAAATATATACAATAAAGCAGTAAAATGCATGGATGCAACAATACAAGCGAGGCAAGGGAGTCCCACTCAACCTCGAACCTGGAAAACAATAGGCAAAAGTGAACAGGCTTCACTTTCAACCCAGCAGGGTAAACAGCACACAATACAGTCCGGAAAACCAATCAATACATCAGCAATGAAATACAGCAATAAAACAAACAGCTTCAGCAGCTCTGGATCAACACCTGGCTCCAAGTAATCTCCAATCAGCTACAGGCTTCAACAAGCATCAATCTCCCTCTTTATGACCTTCAGGCAAGGGCTTTGATCATCAGTCTTCTATCTGCAATGGCTTTTCTTCAAGCTCAAACCTCCAGGATGAGGGATTAGTCACAAGAGTGAAGTGAATGAATGTTAGACAGTTAATTACCTACCAAGGGTGGTTCATCAACTGTTAACATTAAACAGAAAGTTTCCTCTCAAAAGTTCTATCTCTCAAATATATTCACTGATCTTTCTAAAGGAAGGAGGTGGATATTTGGAAGAGACTTTGAATCATAAAGAAAGGATGGATGCAGACAAGGCATTCCATGTTTGAGAAACAAGCTTTCTAATCTAGGGCTCTGCCTAGCTCCTAAACCCTAGTCTCCTCAACAGCTGCCAGCAATAACCTCCTCTCCTCTTGGCAAATGATCTTAAATCTCTGGATCTCCAATGGTCTTCATTTCCTCAAGTCTTCAGCTCTCCCAGGTCCCCAGACAAACCCAATACCCAAGCAAGCAAGCAATAATCCCCAGAGGGCACACCACACCAGACAATCAGATATATACAGAGTATTAATAGCAGTAGGGGAATCCTGACTTTTTCTAAGGGATCTAATAACTACCCATAGCCCCTATAGTCCCATAACTAAACTAGTCAAACCCTAAGTCCTAAGGGAAAAGAATCAAATCTCCTAAGTCATCACCTAAAAAACCCTAATTTGTTCATGTTGTTCAAGCCTACATTAAGCACCTAAAATTAATTTCTAAAAAAAGGGAACTAAATTGTTTCTACAAGTTCAATATCTAATCTAAACAACCTAAAAAGAATGAACAAAAAATATGAAAGCATCTAGTAGAACAAAAATTAATAAAATCATGCATGAAATGAAACTATTTAAAATGTCATTTATTTAGAAAATATGAGAAAAATATCAAATGAAAATAAAAATGCACTTTTATTTAATGACAATTTTCTACACATTCTAATGAAAATAGTGTAAAAAGAATGGATTAAAAATGATTTTTTATCTATTTATTATGAATTTTTTTAAAATGAATGAAAAAAAATGAAAAGGAAATAATAAAAAAAAATAGAAATAGCCAGGGGGGTTTGAATAGCAGGGCGCCCTAGTTGATATTCCTGGATGGGCCAGCAAACGGGGGTGCGAACAGCAAGTTGAATTAAGCCCAGAAAACTTCAGAATTAATAAAACAAAGTAATAGGAAGCAGGGGGTGAGAACAGCAAGTTATTCACGTTCAGATTCGAACTGGGCCCAATACTGGGGGTGGCAAAAGCAAAGCCCACGCTCCCCCCTTTAATGAAACGCAGCGTTTCAATGGGGGGAGGATTCCCTCTCAAACTCAGAATTAAACCTCAGCCACACGATGGCTCCTCAGGTCAATGGTCTAACACATAATGGACGCTCAGGATTGCGTCTTCTACATTGGATCATATGAGAACTAGGGTTTCCCTCCATGGCAGCCATGCACGAACCAACTTCAAGCTCTCGGTTCTCTCTCCACAGTGCACGAAACATCACGATCCAAACATGAAAAATACTCTAAATCTCTCCCTCTATACGTCTATGGTCATAGATTGTTCTGAAATTCAGCAAATCACTCAAACCGATCGAGACAAGTTCTGACTCCATGAAAATACACTGAGATGCATCACAACAATTCTCAACCAAACCTATACTAATCTACTTTATGCATAATGGTGATCATTCTAAACTAACAAGCTAAGGTTATCATGCAAGATCCTACGAGTTCTTGACCCAAACAGTTTGGTACACCTGTTATGAATTGTCTCTATTCAGCCTCAAATTCATCTAAACTAACCTCCTAACATCATAGACCATGAATATACTAGTAAAACT